CCACCACACCCGGCTAATTTTGTTCTTTTAGTAGAGACAGGGTTTCTCCATGTTGGTCAGGCTGGTCTTGAACTCCTGACCTCAAGTGATCCGCCTGCCTTGGCCTCCCAAAGTGCTGGGATTACGGGCATGAGCCACCACACCCGGCCAGTGAAGACCATTTTTGTTCCAGGGATTCTCCAAATACCCCATCAGTGTGTCCTCACTCCAGGTGATGCCCTTGTTCTTACTGGCATCTGTATATAAGAGAATCCGGCAGTCTGGCCTGTCTTCTGCCCAGAGAGACTGTGGAGATGTGGCCCAGTCTTGTGCTTGCTTCCCTTTTCCGTGGTGTGGCACTGGGCACCCTTCGGAACAAAAATCTTGCCTTTCTCAACATCATCCATGTTTAATTCTCTTTTGTTGCTGGCACTATGAAGGTTTCCATTCAGAAGCCAGGTGTCCTGCTCTCTCTTTATTCTGACTTTTTATTTAAATGCAGTATGCGTACAGAAAAGTGCACAGATCATAGTCATTCATAGATCCGTTCATAGAATTGAAGCATTTGATGTTTAGGGAATTATTTATGCCCTCGCTCTACTTTGCAGAAACTAAAATGAAATACCATAACGATTATTCAAACTGATAATGCTGATTTTCTCTAGAGCAGTAAGGGAGATTTTTCTGGTACCAGCTCATTTTAAATAGTATAATAATGCAGCTCACTGTTGATTAAAAGTGGGAGTTTTAGGCCAGACCTGATGGCTCACGCCTGTAATCCCAACACTTTGGGAGGCCAAGGCAGGAGGATCGCTTGAGCTCAGAAGTTTGAGACCAGCCTGGGCAACGTGGGGAAACCACATCTCTACAAATACAAAACTTAGCTGGGTGTGGTGGCATGTGCCTGTGGTCCCAGCTACTCAGGAGGCTGAGGTGGGAGGATTGCCTAAGCCCAGGAGTTGGTGGCTGCAGTGAGCTGAGATCGTGCCACAACACTCCAGTCTGGGTGACAGAATGAGAGACCCTGTCTGCAAAAGAAAAGTGGAAATTTTAGGGTCTTATTCCCTTAGCAACTTTTTTTAGTGCAGTTAATGTGATCTCAGCTCACTGCAGCCTCCACCTCCCAGATTCAAGTGATCCTCCTGCCTCAGCCTCCGAGTAGCTGGGATTACAGGCATGCACCACCATGCCTGGTTGATTTTTGTAGTTTTGGTAGAGATGGGGTTTCACCATATTGGCCAGGCTGGTCTCGAACTCCTGAGCTCAAGTGATCCACCCACCTCGGCCTCCCAAAGTTCCCTTCACATCTGTTAATGTTGCTTAGAAACGTCTTTTTCTCTCAACAGATTCCAAAAGATGAGCATATTCTTCGGTTTCTCCGTGCGCGGGATTTTAATATTGACAAAGCCAGAGAGATCATGTGTCAGTCTTTGACGTGGAGAAAGCAGCACCAGGTAGACTACATTCTTGAAACCTGGACCCCTCCTCAGGTCCTTCAGGATTACTACGCGGGAGGCTGGCATCATCACGACAAAGGTACCGGATGGAGTTGAAACTGTGTTTCCGTCATTGTCTTGATGTGTGGTTGAAGATATCTTCCAAGGCCTCCTTCCCTGGAGTTGAGTGGGGCCCCTTGAGTGCATCGTTTCTCCTCACTCTGAGAATTTGGCACCTTCCCCAAGTTGAACAGACTGATACGCTTCCCCGCGGGCACACTCCCATCCCGCCCTGGGCAGGCAGGAAGGGCCTGGGACTGCTCTTTCCTCATGGACGCTCGTCATCCTTGGGCAAATGACTTGATTTCCTCGGTGCAGTACAGTTTGGTTTGACCTATTAAAAAGGCAGCAGTGCCTATGGCAGAGTGTTTTCAGTAGCGCAGTGTTAACAAAGCGGCTTTTCAATGACCTAAACCCTATGAGAGCTTAAAAAGGTTCAGCCAGGTTTTCTACATCACAGCCGTGAGCACTTCAGTTCTGCTTTGGGAGTAAGGCCTGGATGAAGGTGATGCACCTAAAATGAAGAGTGGTTTAAATGAGAACCGTGAAACACAGTTCCCCGAATGCCTTCCATACCCTGCCTTGCAGGAAGACCTCACTGTCAAAACCACGCTCTCTTTCGTGAGCCAAAGTTTGAGAGCTGGGCAGGGTGGAACTGAAAGCATCGGCGGGAGGGAAGCACTGTAGAACTGGCTTTTTCCCTCTAAGCAAGTCCTTTCAGAGGACTTGCTCAAAGCTCTGCTTTGTCTGGAATTACCAGTTCATGTTTTGTATTTCTCCAGGTTAATTGGAACTGTATTAATTTTTACTGGAAACATACTGTGCATATTTATATTATTCCACTTTGTTATAGGCCTGCCCGTAAAAGGTTAAAAAGTTTGTAGTCATTGACAAATGTGTCTTTCTTTTTTTTTTTGAAACAGAGTCTCGCTCTGTCGCCCAGGCTGGAATCCAGTGGCAAGGTCTCAGCTCACTGCAAGCTCCACCTTCCAGGTTCAAGCAGTTCTCCCGCCTCAGCCTCCTGAGTAACTGGGACTACAGGCATGCGCCACGATGCCCGGCTACTTTTTGTATTTTTAGTAGAGATGGGTTTCACCGTATTGGCCAGGCTGATCTTGAACTCCTGACCTCATGATCTGCCCACCTCGGCCTCCCAAAGTGCAGGGATTACAGGCTTGAGCCACTGCGCCCGGCCTCAACAAACGTGTCTTATTAAACGTTGGGAGAAACTTTCTGTAAATAGACATTTCCGTAAGATTTTGAAGCACATAAAAATGTTTTGCTTTAAGTAGACCAGGTCTAGAGCTAGATTCTCCTGGGAGATGAAGTTCACTAGGTGACAAATACAAGATAAATGTTACCCTCCAACCCTCCGTCCCATGTCAGCATGGCACTGCTGGTCCTCTGTTAACCACAGAAGACAAGTCTTGGTTCCTTTTCAGGAGCACGATCCGTCTGCATTCCTTCTGCTGCCCCTTTTGGAACAGTGCGGCAGGAGGCTGGGTAGTGCTGACTCCGGGGATACACTGTGGCCACCAAGATCTGTTTCCCTTTGTGTGGATGGCCCATGATGATAGGGCAGTATGGGACGAGTTAGGCTCCTCTCAGGCGGCACCCATTAGACCTCCAGGCTATAAAGAAGTAGAGCCAGGCCAGGTGCGATAGCTCACTCCTGTAATCCCAGCATTTTGGGAAGCCAAGGCAGGAGGATGGCTTGGGCCCAGGACCTCCAGACCAGTCTGGGCAACACAGTGAGATATTGTCTCTACTAAAAAAAAAAAGGAGGCCGGGTGCGGTGGCTCACACCTGTAATCCCAGCACTTTGGGAGGCCGAAGCGGGTAGATCACCTGAGGTCAGGAGTTTAAGACCATCCTGGCCAGCATGGTGAAACCCCGTCTGTACTAAAGATAACAAAAATTAGCTGGGCGTGGTGGCACACGCCTGTAGTCCCAGCTATTCGGGAGGCTGAGGCAGGATAATTGCTTGAACCTGGGAGGCGGAGGTTGCAGTGAGCCGAGATCGTACCAATGCACTCCAGTCTGGCAACAGAGCAAGACTTCGTCTCAAAAAAAAAAAAAATGTGGCCCAGCACGGTGGCTCATGGCTGTAATCCTAGCACTTTGGGAGGCCGGGGCGGGTGGATTGCCCAAGCTCAGGAGTTTGAGACCAGCCTGGGCAACACGGTGAAACCCCATCTCTAGTAAAATACAAAAAATTAGCCGGGCGTGGCGGCGTGCACCTGTAGTTCTAGCTACTTGGGAGGCTGAGGCAGGAGAAGAATCGCTTGAACCCGGAGGCAGAGGTTGCAGTGAGCCAAGATCACACCACTGCCCTCCAGCTTGGGCAACAGAGAGAGACTCCGTCTCCAAAAAAAAAAAAAAAAAAAAACAGTCGAGCCAACACAGGCTGCCTGGTGGGGTTTTAAGGATTTTTAGAATGTTCTCATTTATCTTGGTCCTTAGAGTGGGAATTGAAGGAAGCTGGCTTTTAAAAATCTTGCATTCAGTTTTTAGTAATCTGTGATATGAAAAAAAATGATTTTCTAAAAAAGAAAAATTTAAAAGTACTCTGTAGTCATAGAAGTGTCTGGATAGTTTGATGTTCCCTTGCTGTTGAAAATCAGAGCTCTTGGGCAGCCCCAGTTGTTCAAGGTGAACCCAGCTTATGGGCAGTGGTTCAGACTGAGCCCAGCATATAGGCAGCCTGAGCTGAGCTCCAGCCGGATTCCCCTCGTCCCAGCACAGCCTTCTATTTCCAGGACCCTGCACAGCTACTCTGTCAGTTGGTTTTTGTTTTTCTCATTTACAACTTTTTGGGGTAAATATTGGACATACACCCCCCATCACACACATAAATCAGTTGCTGTTTCTAAGAATCAGAAAGATCTTCAAGTACTCCTAGAATATAGGCGAACACATTTCCCTGTTAAGGGTCTTAGAGTTGTATCCTCAGTTTCAACTGAGATGGTGCCGATAACTCATTCCTCCCCTCCTCTGCAGATGGGCGGCCCCTCTACGTGCTCAGGCTGGGGCAGATGGACACCAAAGGCTTGGTGAGAGCGCTCGGGGAGGAAGCCCTGCTGAGATACGTAAGTGCGCGGCTGCGAGACTCCAGGCCTCACTTGTGGCGTCACTTTCTTTCTCTGCCAGTAGGATTGGGGTGTTAACCAACCTGTTAAAACAAACATTAATTGCTTTTGTAGTTAGAACTGAAAATACATTAATATCATCTTAAAATTTCAAAAGAAGACGCAGAAGTTATAACTGTCTCTCACAGTGGAAGCATCAGCGCGGCAGTCACGTCTCCCCCGAGATGCCTGTGTAGCAGCGGTTCTGAGTCTTTCCATTCACTGCCACATGGAATTGCCCTCTCCTGGGACGCCACTCACAGCAGACCTCTTGATAGCTTTCTTTCCACTGGCCCTTAACGCGAGCTCTTGGCATCTTTCTCTAGACCGTCCTGAATGCCTGCTGACTCCAGCCAGGCCCCGCTCCGCTGCTGCCGCCATTGGCAACAGTGCGTCCCCCTCGCAGAGAAGAAGATGGTCCTTCAATTTGAAAACAAACAAACTAAAAAGGCACATTTATAACCCCAATATCGTGAAATATGCACTTTTGACTTTATTTTTTATTATGTTGAGATGGAGTTTCACTCTGGTTACCCAGGCTGGAGTGCAATGGTGTGATCTTGGCTCACTGCAACCTCCGCCTCCCGGGTTCAAGTGATTCTCCTATCTCAGCCTCCTGAGTAGCTGGGATTTCAGGTGCCCGCCACCATGCCCAGCTAATTTTTTTTGTATTTTTAGTGGAGACAGGGTTTCACCATGTTGGCCAGGCTGGTCTTGAACTCCTGACCTTAGGTGATCCTCCCGCCTCGGCCTCCCAAAGTGCTGGGATTACAGGCATGAGCTCCCCCTGCCTGGCCAGCTTTTTTTTTTTTTTTTTTTTTTAAAAGAGACATGGTCTGACTGTTGCCGAGGCTGGGGTGCAGTGTCTATTCCTGGGTGTGATCACAACTCACTGCAGCTTCAAACTCCTGTCCTCAAGCGGTCCTCCCACCTCGGCCTCCTTAGTAGCTGGGACTACAAACACTACCACTGAGCCTGGCTCACTGTTGGTATTCCCTTGTGTATTGTGTTAGTCTGCCCCCAGCGCCATGTGTGTTTATATATCCCCACATGCACACGATCACACATAAAAATGGGGATGGTCTTTATCTACAGGGGAAGGGTTTGTTAACCTAAAGCAAAGGATCGCTTGAGCCATGCCTTACGTCTGTTCTAAGGCTGCCTTTTCTCTTGGCTGGCACATGTGGTATCAGAGTGTTCCCACACTCACAGATGCTCATCTGCTGTTCCCCTGCACTTGTTCTGAAGACAGAGCCCCAGAGCCAGGCCCCTGCTCATCTGGGGATTCCTGTGCGCCTCACTTTGGGTAGTCGTTACCTTTGATTTGCCGCACACGACAGTGTTTGTTCTCTGTCAAGAGTAAAATATTTTTGTTGGTGGTGATGTGTTTAGTTAGCGCATGTGAATGTGTAAGAAAATCTGCATAGGTCACTTTTTTGGTTTACATACTTATCTGTAATACGCTGTTAGTGTCCCTCTTCCATAGCTGGATGGGGTAGTTTTAGTCTTAGACTAATCATGGACGATTTTCATGCCCTTTTGTATGTAGGTTCTCTCCATAAATGAAGAAGGGCTAAGGCGATGCGAAGAGAATACGAAAGTCTTCGGTCGGCCTATCAGGTAGATGTGGGATTTTGTTTTTCCTTTCAGCTTACTGAGAAAACGCATTAAATATTTCTAGTTGATTTTTGGAATTAAAATCTGCTTATTATTTTCCAGGGTGCTCTAAAAGGTAGAAAAGAGGTGAACATGTAATATGCTAGTGACAAGGGACAGAACACTTAGGGTTTTTTGACCCCAGGCGTTGCTGTCACGTCAGCCTGAGTGGGTTGGCCTGTCTGCTTAGTCTGCGTGGGCTGTGGGAGCCCAGGGCTGCAGGTCCTTTGCTTGTTTTTGCCTCCCCTCCCCACTCAGATGACTCTGTGTTCTTAAACCAAGCTTTAAGTTATAGTAAAGAGTTCTGAAAATGTTTAGTGATTCAAAGGTTGACATTGATAAGGGTGTAGATGGTTCGCTGGGATATAAGTTCCGTGAGAACAGGGATTTTGAGGGCCTTTTGCTGATTGCTGTATTCTCAGCTCCTGAGACAGCGCTTCTCTCTCTCTCTCTCTCTCTCTCTCTCTGTCTCTCTCTCTCTCTCTGTTGAAGCATAGCCCACTGCAGTTCAGACACAATATGTGTTAAAATACCAGCTGTGTGCCCTGTTGATGGCAGGTTAGTGGGGCGGTTTAGCATGTCAAGGACAGCACAGTGTGGCTTTGCTTGCTGGCTCACTGAGCATATCTGAGAGAGCTTTTCATGCATTATCAATCAGCCTTAATTGCAGTTTCAGGCCTTGGTCCTACCACAGTGATCCTGTGTGTTTTGTATAAGTAGATATAAACAGAGTTCATAGCACTATAATTTTAAAAAACTCATTATGATGTATTTGGAAATAGCTATAAATGACCAAAAAGGAAAAAAAATAAGAAGACGTAGTTTGCTAAGTGTGCTGTCTGTCGAATGAAACACCTCTCTGCACAACCGCAGCTCGTGGACCTGCCTGGTGGACTTGGAGGGGCTGAACATGCGCCACCTGTGGAGACCTGGTGTGAAAGCCCTGCTGCGGATCATCGAGGTGGTGGAGGCCAACTACCCGGAGACGCTGGGCCGCCTGCTCATCCTGCGGGCGCCCAGGGTGTTTCCTGTGCTCTGGACGCTGGTGCGTTGAGATGCTTTTTGCAGTAACTGTGAGCCATTTGGACAGCAGACACGCATGCATTCATATATGTGTCTGTGACCTAAAGTCCTGACTACTTAGGAAAAAAGCATGCAAAGCTATAAGATTTCTCAAATTGTTTAAGAGAGGGGAAAAACAAAATTTGAGTGTCCTAATGCCATGCAACTAGACTTTACAGAAGAAGTATATAACCTTGAATTTCCTCCCCCCACCCTCCCACTCAGAATACCACATTGTCATTTTAATCTTGGACACTCAGGCAGCAGAGAAATGTGACTGCGTGGCCTTCTCCTCCTCACAGGTTAGTCCGTTCATTGATGACAACACCAGAAGGAAATTCCTCATTTATGCCGGAAATGACTACCAGGGTCCTGGAGGCCTGCTGGACTACATCGACAAAGAGATTATTCCAGATTTCCTGAGTGGAGAGTGCATGGTATGTCTTGAGGCGAGGAACTGCACATTTGGCCCCTTTTGCAGGTGGGAGAGGTCGGTGTTGATTTGCGCAAATGATTTTCAGAACTTCCAGTCATTTGGATGTTTTGTTTTTGTTTTGTTTCTTTTGGCCGCCATTTCTCTGATCCAGAGTTAAGTTAAAGAGAACCATTTAAATAATTGTTGATACTGTACATTTCTTCATTATTAAATAAAAATGAGAATTTGTTGTAGAATATAATACAATTGTAGCTTGCTTTATTCACACGGCTTTGTGTGAATCAGATCTTTAAACCATTTTAGAGGAGCTGTCATATTTTAAAAAATGCTATTAAAAAATTGAATGTTCTCAAAATGTCCCACCTGCCCCTCCCCCTCCTTGTTTTTTTATGGAGACGGGGTCCGGCTCTGTCACCCAGGCTGGAGTGCAGTGGCACGATCACAGCTCACTGCAGCCTGACTTCGTGGGCTCAGGTGATCCTCCCACCTCAGTCACCCAAGTAGCTGGGACTATAGGCGTGCACCACCATACCTAGCTAATTTTTTGTAGAGACAGAGTCTCACTATATTGCCCCAGGCTGGATGACTTTTTTTTGTTTTTTTTGTTTTTTTTTTGAGATGGGGTCTCGCTCTGTTGCACAGGCTGGAGTGCAGTGGCGTGATCTCAGCTCACTGCAGCCTCTGCCTCCCAGATTCAAGTGATTCTTCAGCCTCAGCCTCTGAAGTAGCTGGGATTACAGACATGTGCCACTACCCACAGCTAATTTTTTTTATTTTTAGTAGAGACCGGGTTTCACCATGTCAGCCAGGCTGGTCTCAAACTGCTGACCTCAAGTAATCTGCCCACCTCGACCTCCCAAAGTGCTGGGATTACAGGCATGAGCCACCACGCCTGGGCTGGATAACATCTTTAAAGTAAAAAAACGAAGGGAAGTGGTTCTCAACATATGTTTGGGGTTTTTAATACACTGAGTTGCTGGGTAACGAAGCAGAGGCCTCCTCTTCTTTACCCTGTATTCAGAGAAGCTCAGAACCTTGGGGTCCTTGTAGGCTTCTAGCCCATGGTGCACAGTTGTGCCATGGGAGCATTGCGAAGCCAAAGCCTGTAGAAGTCCCAGTGACTTGTTCCATGGCACACTGTGGCGGCTGAACGCACAGGGGGTGAAGCTTCTTATCAGAAGGGCTCTCTAGTCATCCGTCATATACAGTTACCCGTTAGAGATGTGTACCCACTGGGTTTGACTCAGGTATTTAGCTAATGAATTGGACATTCGGGACTTTGGACTTTCTGAATGGTTATAAAAATTTAGAAAACGAATTTAGCTTTCACTTCATCAGTTCCACTTTAAGAAAATTACGGGCATCATCACAGTGCAATGCAAAGAGCAAGTAAGTTACAGTAAAAGTTACAGGACCAGAATTTAGCAAGTGCCTGTGAGGTTAAACTGCAGGCTCAGGTTTGTAGAAACCTCTGAACTCCTTTCATATGAGCTAGCCGTCCCATGTTGTTGCTGTTTCCAATTATGACGCAAAGAATTGAGCCGGAGCACAAGGAGACCTGCCTCACCGCCAGTCGCACCTGTTTGTCACATGCCGACCTCCGTAGTGTGTTTGTAATGCTGAGCGTCTCTGTGGTTAATTGAGCTGTCCAAAAACTCGGGCCTTCTAAGACTTCTTCACCACCCTCCTGAGCTGCTGTTCAGGCTGGTAGTTGAAAGGAGGTTGTTCACTTCTGCTCTCTGGTGGCTAGAGGTTACTAACCAGGGGTCAGTTTGGTATTTTTCCAACACGACATCGCTGCTTTGACACTTTGCAGGCTGAAGACTGAAGTGTTTCTTTTCTGTGTAGTTGCTTCCCAAGGCTAATAGAAAGGAGGACTTCGATTTTAAGAACTTTACTGTGGAGTCATTGTATAAAGGTCAATTAGGAGATTTATGATACGTACAAATTCTAATTCAACTTGTTTCAGGCAAATTCAAACGAAGTTCTTCATTAGTTTTTGGCTGGTGTTATAGACCAGTCATTTGACTTGAGACACAAAACATTATTCATTGATTCTATATCTTGACTATAATTTCCTACCATAAAAATGATGCCTGTGGCTATTGAGAGCAAAACTCTTTTCTTAAAGTAATACGCTTCCTTTATAGCGCATTATAAAGACGCTAGTGCTTCTGTGAGCCAGCTTCAGTAACTGGGGGCAGTGCCTCACGCGTGTTAGTAGGAATTCTATGCTACTTCAGCTTCAACTTGTTCCTGTTTATGCAAAGTAAAACACATGTATTTAAGTGGTTTTTAAAAACATATTGCTCAGCAGTGCAGAGTATTTTACGACCCTGCCAGTGTTCTCCATTTTCTTAGCAACTTCCAGGAGTTAAGCGCAGGAGGATGGTGCTGGCTGGCGTGTCGGGGTTTCGTGGGGTTGGTTTGTGTTTGCACAGGTTTCAGCACTGTGTTTCTGCTTCCAGTGCGAAGTGCCAGAGGGCGGACTGGTCCCCAAATCTCTGTACCGGACTGCGGAGGAGCTGGAGAACGAAGACCTCAAGCTCTGGACTGAGACCATTTACCAGTCTGCAAGTGTCTTCAAAGGAGCCCCGCACGAGGTAGGTCCTCCGCCTTCCTGCACCTGGGCGGGCCCTTCCTCAGCAGAGAGCCTGGCGCTCGCAGGGCTTCCTGGCAGCCTTCCTTTTCAAGTCCACTTGTTTTTCTGCTCTTTGTCTTTAGGCTTTTGTTGACACTCGATACTTAGTTTCAGTAAACGTCAACATCGAAGAGCCGGTCTCTCTCAGAATAGAAACTAGCAGTGCTTGGTCAGAGTGCCTGGAAAGGAAATGGATCTCTTGACCTCCATTTTACTAAAGCCACCAAACGCAGAGATAGGAATAGCTAATCTTTCCTTGTTGCAGCACTTAACTCCTGAATTTAGTTTATTTCATGGTTATATTGAACAGGCTTCATTTGCTACTTTTTCTTTTCTTTCTTTTTTTTTTTTTT